CCACTACGTCTGTCCCCACTACGTCTGTCCCCACTACATCTGTCACCACCACATCTGTCACCACCACATTGGTGACGACAACGCAAACTAGCTCGAGCCTTCCGCCGGGGTCTTCAACCACTAGCATCACCACCACCGAGACCAACGTCATTTCATCTTCTACCGTGGCAGGATCGACAACCTCCACAGAGGTCTCCTTGAGTACCTCTTGTACGACGACCGCGATAGTCACACAACCCACGGGTTCGACGTCGGTACTGGGCACAGAAATGACCTCGTCTCCGGCCGCGACTGGACCCGCGCCCTGCCACGCTTGTAGCTCCGTCGTATACACCACGTGCGACGTGGTGTATACCACCTGGCAAGACCAACAATCGCGGTGGTACACCGGTCAGACCACGATCACCCAGATCATCACGACCTCCCAGGCGGTGGAGGCGACGCAAGCCGACTCCCCGTCCACGGCCGCCCTGTCCAGGATCACGAGCGTCGCCTCTTCGATCGCTGCGGCCGCATCGGCGCCTCTGACCACCACCGCGTCGCTCCCGACGAAACCGTTCGTCGGCACCGCGATGAGAGGGTCGGTGGCACTCCCGCGCTTAATGTCCGTGAGCTTCGCGTATATTGTCGCATGGATGTTACGCTGGTGCTGATCAGGACCGCTACCGAAGGTGTTTACTCGATCTCTAGGATATCTTGGAATTTAGGTTCGCGAATGGAATACATAGGTCTATTTCAAATAACTGGAACCCACCGACCCAGGCCTGGGTCCGGGTCGTGTCTCTCGTTCCCTTCAGTTCCGTTCAGTTTAGCGTCGAGTAAAGTAGATCGTGATGACCCGGATCGATGCGTCAGTCGGATATTCGATGTGGGAACATAGAAGGGTGTGGAGGGAAAGATGCGCCGTTTCCGGCGAGATGTCAGCCAGGATGAGCAGCTCTCGTTTCCGCGGCCTTTCTAGGAGTGGCTCTGCTCTGGCGAGCGTGACCATTGGTTACACTCTCAGTTTCAGGCCTATGGGGGGTGATGGAGATGCGGATGTGTCACCATCGGTGGATCTGGGAGCCGGACGCAAACCCTGCTCTGCAACCCGGCTGTTTCCCTTTGCTGGGCCGGCAAATCTACTCGAGTCGCTATCTCTGGGTGTGGTGACTTCCTCTTTCGGTAATGTGGGATCCACTGGCCTCGGGCATGATCGGTCGATGATGTTGTGATATCAGACGCATGGCCACCGGCTATCAGACGGACGGAGTACAGTCTCCTGGAAAACATTCCGTGCGCTGAGAAACAGTGAGGAAGCTTCTACAGTAGAGCACTATTTACCCTCGCTGTATTTTATTTCCTTTTTGGGTTTACTATGCCAAGCCACGGATCGGAAGATAGAATTTCCGACTGTAAACTTTAACTCAACCTCCGCTGATGGCAATCGCGGCCGCCACGTTCACGACTGCCATTAGTTAGTCCTCTCTCGGTGCCGGACAATCCCGTGAGGACAGGCCGCAGAACAATATGCTTTTGCTACTGATCTTTCCGGAACTACCATTACCGCTGCCAGACGGTGCTTCTGGGAGAAAATGGGTCGGCGCTTCGGGGGATGGCGATGCCCACGTTTGGCCGTGTCCTTCCTCTTTTATAGTAGTAGAGTACTGTAAGCATCCGCCCCTGGTGGCTTCAGGTCCTCCATGGAGGGAGGCCTTGCCAGGGAGTGTTGCCTTGATTGGGTACTCCTCGAGTGGTCGCTCATTGGTCGGTTGACAGGTTAACCACGTCTAGAGTAACGATTTATTCATTGGCAGGTTTGCTAAAGAGGGTGATTGGTCGCTCGATGATATGGCTGTTGGTCTAGCGTAGGCCGCTCGGACGGGTGTAGATTTAGTGGAATGATCGCATCAATCAACTCTTGTCGACCGTAGGTGACGATGAGCCGAACCAGCCAATGTGGACCGATCCTCTGCGCGAATTCAAGAGAGAGCATATAAATCGATCCTATACCCGTGCATCCCACTACCAGTTCAACACCTCCTCATACAGTACCTTTTGGACGCATACAGCAACTGACACCGGGCGTACACAGTTTTACGTCGTGTGAACGGAGAGGGTTTTTAACCTCCCTTCACCTTGTACGTCCGATGGAGGCCTTCCCAAGGTCTATTTCGCCGTAGGACGCCTGTCAGCCGTAACCCCCGATGGACAGCAACCGTATACGCAACATCAGGATGGCATCCACTCCACCGGCGACGGACCCGAATCTGCGAAGCGTTTCCTACGACGGTCGGTCTGCATACATCGATCCTCGGGCTCGCAGTCATCCCGATGCCTCACTCGTTCCCTGCTTCACCCCCTCCTGGATGCCATCCTCCTCCCGAATGCTACTGGGTACTGTCAACCTACCGGACACTATTCCCCTCCGGAGTACTACCATCCGTACTCCCACTATCCGCTTAGATACCATCCCCCTCCTCGGCAATACCCAAGACAGCGCTCAGCCGTCGCGTGTACACGCTGCCGACAGAGAAAGGTATGTGTCGAATGGCTTCAGCGGAATGATGTCATCTCACCCCTCGCTCTAGATTCGATGCTTCGACTACGCGAGGGATGGCCGCTGCGCCAAGTGCAGGCAGCACTGTCAGCGATGTACATTCCGGCCGGCGGGCTCACACGCAACCTTGGTCCCCGCGTCCGCTGTCTACGGTCCTGATGTGAGCGCTCCTGTCGCCAGCCAGCATGATGGGTCACCCGATCAAATGATAGCCCAACCTTCCGCCTGGCCCGAGCCTACGGTCTATGGCGCTTCCGGTCAGCCTCCAGATCTACGGCTCCATTGGGACCAGGCTTCCCTATGTCCTGCTCCAAACAGGACCCTCGTAACCAGCACGGTCATCTCCCCCCAAATCGTGCATTCCATGCCATTTGCTCATCCGCGTTCGATAGGGAGGCTGTGAGCAACGGGACAGAAGCGATCACGAAATTCGAAGTATCCTCGAGGGCAGAAGGTAGGAGACATGCCGACTGACCTCCAGTCCAGGCCTGGGCGGTCTCTGCTTGAGGACTGTCGACAGCGTCCCTCTTGATGGTCGTATCTCTGAGCCAGAGGGTCGGGTTTACGTCCTCGCATGTATCGGCCATGGACAAAGAGATCGCCTTTCCCTTTTCGATACCTTTGTGCGCCTTGGCGGCCGTGACCTCCTACTAGGAGCCTCCGGCGATGAGGTCTAAGGCAATGGGGCACTTAGCTCCGTCAAACACTGAAGGAGTCGGATGGTAGAGTAGGTAGAAATAGATGCCGCGGAACCCACCTTGGGGCCCAAGTCGCTTATACTACTCCGAACTCTTGATTTGTGACGGCTGCGGGTTGTCTGATTCTACCCTACCGGCGCCGAGTTTCCCAGTTATCGCAGTTTGATATCAACTTATCCGTGGACGTGCGACGTCAGCGGGCCAAGTCTCAGGGTAGTGACACGTGACCCTCACCTCCAGAGCTCTAACGGCTTTCTGGGGCCCGAGCAGAGAACGTGGTCTCCCCTGCTTTCATGTGATGCTCACTCCCTATAAACTGGCGATCCTAGGAGATGTAGATGTTGGCAAGGCGGCGATCACCATCCAGGTAGGTTTTGTCGTGTATCATCCTCACATGCCCGTTTCGCTGATTTCAACATTCAGTTATCTCTCAGCCACTTCGTTGCAATCTACGATCCCACCATCGAATATTCGTATCGGAAACAAGTCGTGATAGATCAGCAAGCGTGCGTCCTAGAAGTATTGGACACTGCGGGTCAAGGAGAACACACGACACTGCGAGATCAATGGACTCGAGACCGCGTGGGTTTTATCCTCGTCTACAGTATAACCTCTCGGAAATCTTTCGAAACAATCAACAAACTATATTCTCAGGTCCAAAGGGCCAAGGGATCCGGGACAGCCAAACTCTCCACAGGCGCCAACTACCTTCCAGCACCGGTGAGTGTCAACCGGCCCCATTCCAGTCATGTTGGTCGGAAACAAGAGTGACAAGTGTCACGTACGCGAAGTGTCAGCCCAAGAAGGACAGGCACTCGCCCCAGAGCTCGGCTGCGAATTCGTCGGGGCATCGGCTAAGAGCTGCATTAACGTCGAGGAGGCTTTTTACGACGTGGGTCGGCAGTTGAAAAAGACAGCGACAAGCCCCTCTGAAACAGGTCGATTCAAGTAAAAGGTCTACATGTGGGACTTCTCCGGGCGTATGCGTCATGAACGATCCTCACCATCAACCAGCCTACCGGGAACACAATAAGTGAGGTGGTATCAAGTGCGTCATTCGATGAATACGACTCACCCAAGGGTACATCCGGGAGGGACGACAACAGGACCAAGACAGAGCCAGAAGAGCGGGGAAGACCGTGACCGATCTTGGGTCGTGCGGCGATTCGGTTGGATTTGGGAGATTGTCCGCAGCTTGCTCAGTTGACACATCGTGGTGCGATGCCCACGCTTGGTGGTGCTGAGATAGAATTCTGAGTGACAGTGAAGTGCTGCTTCAGACCCCAAGTGCTCTTAGATGATGTTGACTCTGTGATGTGGTCGAGGACTGATTATCGTTCAAGTGGGACTTGGCGCCCTTGGCGGTTTGGGGCAGACAAACGCCCGAGATTTGTGCCCTGAGTCTTCATCCTGATGATAAATGGAACGCTGAGGGCTGAATACCAGACATAACTGTACGGAGCACGACAAACAGCACCAGATATGGCAGCGCTCCAGCTCCTCTGCTCCGCCACCACATTTCCCATTCTCGCATTAATGTTCCTTCTTTTCCGTTGCATCTACCGACTCTCCCCCCTCCATCGCCTCTACCATATTCCAGGTCCAATCCGCGCCCGTCTCACTTCGCTCTGGCTGACCTATCACTCCTGGGCTGGCGACGAAGCTTCCACCGTACACTCTCTCCACCTCACCTACGGCCCTATAGTTGTGGTTGGCCCAAACGCAGTCGACATCGCCGATGGTGCCGCACTGTCCGATATCTACGTTGAAAAAGGCGGATTCCGCAAACCAGAATACTACCTGAACTTTACGGTCGATGGCTACCGGACCATTTTCTCCGAAGTTGATTCTGCGGCACGGGCCTCCAGGGCGAAGGCTGTCTTACCGGTTTTCGGTCCGCTGCGATTGAGGCAGGGAAGAGAAGCAGTGTACGCATGTGTGCAGAAGTGGATTGACATCATCGGGATGGAAGCCAAAGTTGGGCGGCCGGTGGACGTGTTGGGATTGTCACGCAGTTTCGCGATTGACGCAGCCAGTGAGTATTTGTTCGGGCATTCGTACGGTGCATTGGACATTGATCGAAGGATGGTGGCCAAGAAGGCGAGAGGAGAGGAAAGAGGCCGCGCTGATGGGATGATCGACGCGTTCGATGCAGTCGGGCGGTACTGGTATTTACCGCCGTGGGCTTATGGCTGGGTGGACTGGGTCAGGATCACCTTCTTCGCGAATGCTGCTCTTCGGAAGACTTTTCTAGTGATGGACGCTTACGTCAACCAAGCAGTCGAGGGTGCGGCGAATGCGGAGAAGAGCTCCCTAGCTGGTAGATTCCAGGGCCGGCTCCTTTCTGCTGGTATCACTGTGGGTGAAACGAAGGCGCAGTGCAAAGATGCCCTACTTGCTGGTGTGGACACCACAGGTTACAACCTTGCACACATCATATTCCAGCTGGCGAAGCATCCCGAGATATATCAAGCTCTCAGAAAGGAGATACAGGACAGCATTCCTACAGATGATCAGGTCCAGTGCCTTCCTTACCTTCGAGGTGTGGTACAGGAAGGACTTCGAATCAGCACCGCCAACCCAACACGGATCCCTCGCGTTGTCCCCCGGTGTGGTTGGCACTTTAGAGACACATTCTTTCCCTCCGGGGTAGAAGTTTCCTGCTCCTCATATGAGCTGCATCATAACCCTGCGGTCTTCGACTGTCCTCAAGAATTTCGACCGGAAAGGTGGCTCAAGGCGAGTAGAGAGATGGATCGAGACTACATCCCCTTCGGGGTGGGTTTTCGACGGTGCATTGCGATGAATCTGGCGTTGGTGGAGTTATATTGTGCCATTCACAAGTTGGTGGAGTATGATTTGCTCTCGGACGCACAGCCATGTGAAGACGGCATCGAGCTGAAAGAATGGTTCAATAGTAAAGTGGTGGGTGGAACCATCGATTTGAAGTGGGAGTCTGGACATGAGTGAGACAGGGCACAAATGCGAGAGAGAGGATGGAGACATCCAATTTAATTGTGGCAGTGAGCACGCCGGACTACCACGAGGACGTGTTGCCTTCTACAGCGCCATCGAGATAGATCCATGGGGAGAGAATACACCAAGAATTTCTAGATAACCACGAGACAAACAACCTTCACCGCTTGTCGCTAAGCGTGACTCGTATGAGGCTCAACCTCATTCGCACGGCCCTTGACAATGTCGACGATTGCACTGTTCACACCGGCCCACTTGGTTCTTCCATATAGAACCCACGCCGCGACAACGAAAATGAGACTTGCTCCAAAGATGGGTCCCGAATAGTTCATCGTGACCGCAGTGACGGGCAGACTGTAGGGAATGGGCAGAAAGACCATCATGTAGCAGGTGTAGAGCAATGCGAACGAATTGACATACTTTCCCCACCAAGACATATTCCATTCCCCCAGTGCCAGCGTCCGGCTGCCTCGATAATTCTGCCATCTTGCGAGCAGCATGCTCAAGATGGCAATGCCGTATGAGGCAAAGAGGGCGATCGTGGCCAGTGAGAGAATGGCCCCGAAAGCGGTGGTGGACCCAACATTGATGAGAGAGAGGGCCACATTCACCGCAATTCCCAGCCAGATAGCTCGAATTGGAAGTAGATGGTTTTGGTTGACCATGGCAAACCACTGAGGGAGGCCCCCATCACGGGCCCACGCCCACGTCAGACGTGACACAGACGCAACACAGCCAAGAGCTGAGCATGCGGAGATGATGAAGATGCCGCTGATCATGGCCGTCGTGGCAGCGGTTGAGTTCGTCACGCGCATTAAAACAACGGCTGCGGGATACGGCGCGTACGCCAGTTCCTCATCCAGGCGTCCCATGGCGGACAGCAGGCAAATGACCATGGCATACGCCATGGCACCGTTCATGGCAAGGCCCCAAAAGACGGCTCTCGGGACAGCTTTCTTGGGCAATCGCACCTCCTCAGCCAGGTGAACTGGGCTATCGAGAGAAATGAATGAGCCGACAGAGGTGAGCATACCCAAATTCCAGGAGATGTATTGGTTGTTCCACCCCGACAGAACTTCGCGATGGAAGAAAATATAATCCGTCGTATTCCGAGACCCCATGACCAGAAGAACCACGACGAAGAGGATAAACAGGGCGACGTGGAGAACACCGGCGGCCAGTTCAAGCCACGGCACGATGAAGAACGTCCAACGAACCGAGTTGATTGCGCCAAAAAAGAGGAGCATCGCGATCATCAGGCACGCGGTATGCCAGCTCTCCCCAACGTAGGTCGGGTGCTGCAGAGCGATCAGGGCCTGAAGGACGAGGATTGTCACATTGACGATGGCTGCAAGGACCGCCACCCAGCCGAGCCACGTCATCCACCCTTGTAACCATGTCAAGAATTTCCTCACTCCAGGAGGAGCGAGAGCATTGGTCCAGTGATATTGGGCCCCGGCGATTGGCACCAACGAGGACATTTCCGCGATTGAAGCCGCTTGCGACATTGCTCCGATGTAGACGATGAGGATAGACCAGGCAAACGTCTGAGGGCCCCCGTTGAACAGGACGAACGTCATGACCCTGCCGCGAACTTTAGTGACGTCGAGATAGAATGGGGGTAACCCACGAGTTCATTGATTCCCAGATCGACATGTACGTGAGGGCGAAGGCCAAGATTTGGACGTCGCTGAACTGTTTCCTCACACCCAACATCTTATTCAGACCCCGTTCAACCTCCGGCGACCCGACAAGGGCGGACTGGTCGGCACCGATGTTTCCATCCTTCGGTGCCACTCGGGTGCCCAAGCTCTGTCGCATCTCGATAGCTTCACTCTGAGAGGCCATGGTAATGACGTCGACCAGTAGGGGAATATCAAGAAAAGAGAGCTGCCACACAAAACGCTGTATGTTGGTAACGTCGTGAGAGCAAGAAGCGAGGAGGAGAGAGAGGAGAATGTTGTGGACAAAAGGCATGAAGATCGCTCAACGATGTGCCAAAGGCGCTTCGACTGATTCCGGGATGGTCAAACTTGGCACATGTCGTTTCGGTTGTGTGGCGGTGGTCTCGGAGTCTCAGTGTACGGAGGGACTGTACTCCTTACCCAGTAGTTTTACGCGAAGGGCCCGACATCATCTCCTCCGGCAGGTTGCTCCTCTATTCCGACCTATCGCATGACGAGTGTCAATCCACCCACAAGGATGGGGTGAGCGGCGTTTGGTCAGTAGTTCTTTTCCAGAGGAATATTGCCATGTCAAGGTAGGACCAAAGTGTGCACTCAGTACGGTACAGTATCATAGTAACAAGCGATATAGGCCTTTGTGCATCCCCTTCTTTCTCCCCCCACTCGTGGTGCGTCCGAACGCTCGGCAATTTCACGGCCCACGGTTCAAACGCTCCGTGCTCCTAGTTAACGTCACATCAATCACCAGGGTCCGAAGCACGTTGAAGTTGACTCAGGACACTAACCCCTTCAGTTTCGACTGCTGGTGCCGTGGGCCCGGAAATCGTTTTCAGGTGAACTCGTCCTGGAGCAATGCCAGGATTGAAGTTTAATGACGCGGCGTGCCACTGACGGCTCACCGGAAGAGAGAACGGCAGAGCGTTTCAAGATAGGGTTGTCACTCACTTATGACTATTATCACCGCCCATCTATGGTTTGCGGAATGCAGTGCAAGCCACGGAGGTCAGAGGGAATGCAATTAAGTTCTGACATCCAATTGCACAGTCCCACAATACCCTAGAGGGAGGTGGGGACGCGAGCTCCGGCAGCAAGCTTAAGCTCTAACATACCCTGGCTAGCGTGGGAACACTCCCATGTTTCCTGCTATGAATGGTTCTTTCTTTTCACCTTGCCACTCGGAGTAATGATGCATCCGTCAATTCGGACTTGGATCACTCTACTTCCTGGTGAAAATTAAGCTTTCGGTCTCTTTGGAGCCTTGTGGACTGTATAGGACTGTGGACTGTACAGAGTACTCGTGCCCTCCCGGCCTGGCCCTAGTTAGGGGATGGGGATTCCCGTTCACCTTGTGCTAGGAGTCATCTCTCCCCCGCGGAGCGTTTTCCTGTTCATGTTTTATTTACTTCTCAAGCCACCGTCGCGTTGAACTTAGTCCCATAATCCAAGGATTTGCCCACATCGCTGCTGTCCCTTTTAGCTCTCTTATCTCACAAGATGGACAATGGAGCGAGGGCACCGTTTTTTCCATCGGTCCCGACGAACCACGCGTCATGGGTCGTGGTCATCTCTCTCTCCTTCCTCACCTACTCCATCATTGGCGTTGCACACAAATTTCTCTGCAGAAAACGAAACGGAAAGCAAGAAGCACACGACTGGATGGTGTTGAGCGCTTTGCTGGTGTCGTGTGTACAGTCAGTGGTCCTCGTCAGGTCCTGCATCCACGGCCTTGGGAGACATCAAAGCGCCCTCTCGGAATCGGCAGTAGTGACAGTCCGAAAGGTGCGTCGTATCCCCTCGATCAAAACCCTTTCTTGACCACCCTGTCCAGGAGCTTTTTTCTTCCACTCTCTTAGGACTGTTTGTCCACATGCTGGCGAAAATTTCGACCACGCTGCTCATCCTGGCCATCAGGCCCAAAAGAAAGCATCAGATGGCGTCTCGTGTCATTCTTGGGGCCATAGTAGTTTGGGGAGTGCTCGGCGCCCTTTTCCTTGGTTTCAGGTGCGGGCTTGCGTCTCCGTGGTCTGAGGGCCAGGACCAGTGCCTGGATGAGTTTCGCGTCTATCTCGGAATCAACTTGGGCAACATTGTTACAGATGTTGCTCTCGTGGGGTTACCCACCGTGATCATGTGGAGCGTCCAAGTACGTGCGGATCTCAAAATTCAACTAATTGCTTTATTTGCAAGCAGGATCCTGTTAGTGCTACCCGTATGCCACTTTTCCTGACTAACTTGGGTCAGCGTCCCGGTCATCATCATTCCCCAAACAGCATACCTTGGCCGTCTTCCAGGCAATGGGAGCGACTTGACCTGGGTGATGGTTGAGCCGGCTATCTTAGGCCAAGTTGCTTTGAGTCTGGCCGTTCTGGCGTCCTGCATAGCCGGCCTTAAGGGAATGATCGATAGTTTTGTATCGGGAGCTTCACAATTCATCGTACCCACGGTCTACGCCTCCTCTCACAACAATTCCCAGCCCCTAGGCAGCGGACTCATTCGAACTAGCCTGAGAGGTAAAAATGACGGAAGTAAAACGGATCTACCGCAGAGCGCGCTTCGTTCCAAAAGCATGAAGGATGGTCCCACAACATCGAGAAAAAGAAATTCTAGTCCCAGCAGCGAGAGTCAGACCGGACTGCGAGACAATGACATTTTACAGACAATCGAGGACGAGGTCGCGTTCCTGACCACAACCCAGGACCCATCCCAGCACCCTGGTGCGGATGGCATCTCGCAACATTCGACGTATGTCTATGGCGATGGTCCTCGTCAGCAGACGTTGTGAGCGGATTCAGCGGGCGTTGGTGTATTATTGAAATGGGTGTCATCAATAACCCCCCCGAAGGACGTGCTAAGAGCGGGGCTCGAGTCGGACCGAGGGCGATCGTTCGCTAACCAAGGTCTCAAAGCGCCCCCCGATCCTGATTCGGTAGACCAAGGTGCGACTGGGTTGCTGCTGGCCATCACGCCTAGAGTGTTTGTCAGGCTTACGCTGAATACCCACCTGCTACCGCCGAGGCCACTATTCATACGAGGCGACGATTTGGCACAGGTTTGATCAACTATTCAAGGTGTCTTGGCAGGGATCCGGATGACGACGTGCATTTGTCGCCCCCTTTTTGCAGTGTCGAGGGGTTCTTTCATAGAGATTTACATACGGAACAGACCCGCTCCCTCGAGAGGAGAGGTGGAAGTCATTCAATTGATTCGCTTCCTCAACGGGTAGATGGGATGGCGTTCCCGATTCTCGCATCTTCATGGACCAGACTCTAAGAGATGCTGCCTAATGGTTCGGCATTAGCGTGACTTTGCTGCCAATGGCCGTAGACAGGACAACTTTACGTAAGGCGAGAGATGCTTGGCAGCTTTATGGTGGCACAGCGAGAGTATCTATGGTCGTGGTGAATCAGCCCGAGAGCCAGGATGGAGTGCTTTCGCAAAGACGAGCACGCGGACAGTCGTTGTGGACCGGGTGATGTGCTTTGAGAGATACAGTGGCCGCTGGTCACATTTTCTGCTTCATCTACGTCTCTCGAAGTTGAGGCCATGTCGGAATTCAGCAGGATGTCCGTATGCCCGAGATCCCCTATCGGCACGAAACATGGAGCGGCCAAGGTCGAAATAGACTCGAATTCGACAGGCGGAATCAATGCCTGAACGCGCGGACCGGTTGTTCGAGGATTCTCCGAGCGCTGAGAAGCTCCCCCATTTTGGGTGGCCCAGGGCATTGAGGAGTTCGTCTGTCTCCGATGGCGTTTGACGGCAGAGGATGTGATCAGCGTCTCTCCAGAATGACCCACTACCCTGTCCTTCGATCGTTGGAGGAGGTCGTATGACGACACAGTCAAAAGAGTTTGACAAATGTTCAATTATACACCGGAGGACTCAGTTCAAAGGCGTATGGCGGTCGAGCACGCCGGGAAAGATTGTAATCGGAAGAGGTGTCATCACCTGGACCGTCACCGTCGAATCATCGTTGAGACTACGGCTTTGCAGACTTAACAAGTGCTGATGGTAACATGGGCCCATAACCCACATGCAACGAACGACCGAGGAACATCACACACTAACGTCACGATATCAGACCAGATCAGGTTCCGGAGTCGTTCATAGTAAGCGTCGATGTTGTTCAGACATGAGTTCACGTGGGCCATGCTTTTGTTCGTGATCTTCGTTTGATCTAGGATGGTTCTACAGCAGAACATGGAGGTCAGGGAACCGCAACATAGGGTTGGCGAAGATGGCCTCGTACACCTCCGTGTATTTCGCATCATCCAGGTCCACGACGAAACCTGGGGCCGCGAAGTTGGGAGACGTCTGCGCTGGGGTAATCCCTCCACAGCCGCCGCCAGTCATCAGCGTCAAGCTCGATGCCAAGTTCGTCATGATGGAAGCGCCGTGTCTGCATTGTTTCTCGTAAGGTGTCCAGCCAGAACTACCCAAGGGATATTGACACCCATTCAGTGGTCAGGTCCCGCCAGCGATCATTGCACCACAGGGCCCTCAATGGTCCTGTGAAATACGCTGTCGTTGGTGACACACTTGGTGTCACTATTGCCTAGGTACTCGAGGGCTTCTTCTGGCGGTTGGCGATACCACTCCCCGTCTTGCTGCGATTCTGTTGACATGAAGCCAAAGCCACCCGTGAGCCGAACGGCAATCTCGGACGGGGACGCGAGGCTCCCGAAGGGCACTACGCGAACAAAAGGAGTCTCCTAGTGCCAGTTTCAACGTCGGGTTTGACATGACGTCTGGAGGATGTTTGGGCTGGAAGGGCCTCTCTAGCTGGACACATGGTCTTGTGGCGACTCAACTTACAAGTTCTAAAGTCGGAGGGCGAGAGAGAATGGTAAATCGGTGATCCACGGTGCTCAGTATCCATGAGGGTGTATGGATGACAGTTGGCAACGTCGGTTGCCATGCACCTGAGAGTTCGCAGCACGACAGGGTCACACTCCACCTGCTGAGAGATGTCGTTCCCGTAGGCCAATTGGTCGCCAGTTTGGAGCGCCGGGTCCCACGGGTACAGGACCTCCATCCAAGCTTTTCAGTTCACCCGCAGCCAGGCACGGCATAATTTTGGTCAGCACTGCCTCAGTGTCCAAGGTGACGCCTAAACTTAGATGCGCGACCCATTTATGGGCGTCCCAAAGCACGACAATCGTCACTAGCTGGACCTCTAAAAAGTAAAACCACCGCAGGATCAATTGTTCATGACAGCTGATACAGTACCGTTGGTGGTCTAAGCGCCGTCGTCACAGGCTCAGATTTAAAGTTTGACCCAGTAGAGTGAGCTGGTCTCGCACCCATGCTTGTCAGCTATCTATCAGGTGAGGAGACTTTTGAGTTCTACCCTTCTGTCTGAATGCCCCCACCCCCCCGAACTAGGGCGGATGAGGAAGTTTTCGCCAGCTAATTTATCTGGGCCTGCAAGTAAGCAGTGACGAAGTCACAGCTCCTGGACAAGGAAGAACGGATCGAAAGCTTCGGTGTTATACTTAGGTCGCGAACCCAGCACGAGTCAGGTGCGGGGCATGTCTCTAGGTACGGAGCTTGGTCTACGATGTGATCAAAGGACGCTAGGCGGAATGGTTCGACATAAGTGGATCAAACGAATAGTTTGTGTGCCATGAGACCTAAATTACCCCCCACTCTCCCAATCTCATTTGGTTAGCGTTGAAGATGTCTCCCTCAGGGTCGAAGCTGAAAGTCCACATATTGGCACTCAGCTTTCAGGGCGTGCGACTGGCCTCGGCAGTCCTTCCCAATGCTTGATTCAAAGGCAGCCACTCAAAGTGATTGAATCGCGTGGTAATCCAGGACTCTGAGCTCCCCGGCGTCCTTTTGCGGAGGACGGAATCTCGACACAGCTTCCTCGACCCGGTGAAAATTGCGGCATGTGTTCGATACTCCAGCGTGGGCGATCGACACGGTGAATGATAAATTCTCAGGAAACGGCGGACAGATATTTTCTTCCGTCTTCGGAATGATATCGTGCAGGGCATAACTGTGCAGGTTGACTCAGGACTCTGGATTCCGGGAAGAAGCTTCCTTTCCATAGATACAGTACATATGAACATCCTTAGGCTATGATTAAACTGAAGGCCCTGGGTCCGGCTGGGGCGTAACACCACAATAGCTGGTGACGAGAAGAAATGTGTTGAAGGTAGCTTCGTGGCCGCGGGCCCTTCCCACTTACTAAAGTTGAGCTACTTAATGTGCCGGTGGACTACGGTTCGCCATTATCCCCCACCCCTGACCCTCGTGCGAGTGATAGTGTTTGGCGAGGAGCCTCGTGCTTCCCGTCTGACTTTGCCAAGCGTCGCCATTGGCTCTGGGAACTTCCCGCGGGTGACGGTACTAGACACGAACCGACCACGCAGGTCCCCTCCGTGCTGGCGCTGGGTACGCAACCTGCACAGTGCGCCTGCAGCACTCAACGTGATTTTAGGTTCTCAGGTGCAAAAAGACCAAACCAGATCGATGCTCGTCCTTACGGGGCCGGCAATGAAGGCCTGAGCACAAGGCACAAAAGGGCCCGTGCGGACCTCGTGTTGATGGTGGGCGCGTATCTGCCTCTTTTGGGAACGTCTGATTTAAGTTTACTCGTAAAGGGTCTCAGGAACATCCATCTTCACCGTGCCGAAGTGAGAGTGATGGGAGTTCGTCCTACATTGGCCCGCCTCGGCTGCACCATTCACAATGGTGGGCGGACTGCCCCCAATCATTTCAGCGGCCGATATGACTGCGACGAATGAACTTCCTCCTGACCCCCATTCCATCTCCACACCAACGAAGAGATGCTGCGAGCTCGTCCCAATGTCGTTCCATTTCATGCCCGCATCGAGCGCAGCCCAGTCCACTATCACAGAACAAGGTCGATCGATATCATCATCCAGAGATATGTCTGATGCGCTAGAGTACCACACAGGGGTGTTTCTTGACCCGTTTCAACTTCGACTCTTCCTCACTCTAAAGGAGGACTGTCGACTCTCCCCCCCCCGTATTTCCTGAGTCGTACACTTACTTCCCCGTGCCGACATTGATAAAGGTTCAACTGGATCCATTGGTGGTCAATGTGGATGGATTCCTGGCCTTGATTCCCATCTTACAAGATTCACAATGCCATAAGAACTGAGGAGGCAATGCCTCATCTTGGCAATTCAGCTACGGATGTCTCGAAATTCACTCCACCCAATCCTTTTATTGATCACGTTTCCCTTCCGCGAGCTCGCGCATCCTGTCCCTGTCCTTCTCAAGAGCCTTTCCTCATACAGTACTACAAGGGTGTATCTTATATTCTTTCCTATGGATACGAAGCGGAGTTACTTGATCACGTACACACTGAAGTCTAAACTTCACCCTCGATCATCCCGTATCTCTGAATGATGCAAAGAGGGAACCCGTGTCCAAGAAATCTGTGCACACCTCTCCCAGCTGGGGGTCCTCGAACATCGTTCAGGACATTCTACTCAATATTGGAACAGAGGCGGCCGGCGGTACGCCTGTTGCAATCAAGATAAGACATCTGTATTCACTCAGCAGAAATTGCTGAGTTCTCTCCGTTCAAGTCATGACCCACCCTCCTAGACCTCAACTCCATGGGGAATCAAAGGTGAAAATCCAGGAGCGGCCTGCCATTCCGGCACCGTCCCGGGACCTTCACGACCTTCGTCGAGGCTCCTCGCGATGGCAGCCTTGGCACACGGCCGAACCAAGCTGTTGGGACAGTGGCCGACATTTTGATTGAATATCAGTTCAGGGGCGTTCTCGTCCGCGAATCACAGTGAGCATTCGTCGCCGCCACGCGCTGAGTTTCCGTTCGTGATTTCACCAAAGCGCGTCCAAGGCCCAAAAGGAGGTGTGGAAGGGGAGTTGGACGACCGGACCCATTTTGTGGAGCCGCGAACCGCCAGTTAGCGCTCAGTTACTCCGGCGCAACCAGTCTACGATGTGAAAAGAAGGAGGTCACGGTGCCATCACGTGAGACGGTCTGCCTGGCGCAAGACAGTTCAAAGTGGCCACGCGATGCAACCACACGCATTTCTTGGCAGACGCTTCTTCACGATCGGACGTCCTTCCCCCTCCCGGCTGAGAACCCCTTCCTGGTGAACCGCACCCTGCCGTAGCCGACTCGGCTCAACGTTGGAAGGATGGCGGCGTGGGTCCTCGGCATAAGACTCAAGAATGATCCTACCCAAAGGGCCACTCGGGTTGCATGGGGCCCTCGTCGTGACGGATCTAGTGGAAGCCGCGGAACTCACTAGCCTAACCCTTCCCAGAGTTGACGACGGTTGGTGGTGCGCCGTTCAGGAGACCCCTGCGATGGCTAAGCACGGAGTATTTCGTCGGACATGATGGTGAGCTGATCCTTGGGACTCGCGGTGCGGGCGGGGGCGCTACGGCCACAAGGGCCACCAAAAGGTGAGATTTCTCTGTTATATCTTTATGCGACTGACAACCACGAAAGGGTTCAGCACTGTATCGATGGGTATCATGCATTTCAGCCGCAAGCGAAGGCTCATAGGGTCAGGTGATGAATCTCTGTGACGAGCCTACGGGCGACAACGTCTTCCTGCACCGGCGGGTGTACACACCAAACATACGCCCTATGCTGCGAGAGCGAGGACAAGTCCTTCCAGAGCGAGAACAGCAAGTGCTCCCAGGACTCACCCTCATGGACGGTAGCATGGGATCCCCTTCCGCAAGACCATATATTGAGCCTCGTACAGCAGGGGCTGGTCGACGACACTCAGCTGAGTCAACAGTGCAGAAGCCTTCCCGAACCTTCAGTGTTTCAAGCATCCTCAATCCCCAAGACGATTCTGAGGATGAGGAAGGGGCAAGTATCGATTTCCCTCTGTCGCCTCCCATGAGTACCGCTACACAGACTGCATTGCCTGCGCCTGCTGGATCTCCGCGGGGCCGTAAGCAAACAGGTTTGAAGTCACCAGTCCGAAGCCACGACTATCAACCTTATATTCATTTAGAGAGACGAATCCTAATCCCAAAGTCTCCCACAAGCCAGTCCGGACACCTTGGGGCAAGGGAGAACCCGTCATCACATTCCCCCATCCAGCGTCTTCCAAATATTTCGGGAGCCAGTGGAAGGACATATGCTGCCGAACCTAGACCGCATCGATCCTCTCACGTCCCTCCCCTTCCGCCTATCGCGATCGTAACTCCGGCCCACTGTCCTACTTATGGGTCTCAGGACACCAGGCAACCGCGCTCTGTCGCGGAAAGCACTGCTCGAACACAGACAACAGTAACCCCACAGGCGGAACATTTTATTAGTAGCCAGGTACCATACACAGAAGTCGAACAGCCACCGCCGATGTATCGCTATGGCCCGGGGGGACCAGAAACGCCAGCACCGGGGGCGTTGAGAGCATTACCGGCGGGAGGTACCGGTGGCTACGGTCACGAAGCACGGACTCGCGGGTCCGGTGGAGGATACCAAATGGGTCAAGGATCGTACCAAATAACTGTCGACACGGACCAAGGACCCATGTTAGTTCCTGTACAATTGGACTTGCAGCAGGCGTCAAAGGCGGCCGATGAAAAAAGAAAACGAAACGCCGGTGCTTCTGCCAGATTCCGCGAGAGAAGGAAGGAGAAGGAGAAGCAAGCTTCCTTCACGATATCTGGCTTACAAGCAGAGCTTCGGGGGGTGATCGAACAACGCGACTTCTATCTCGCTCAAAGAAATTACTTTTGCGACCTGATCAGCAGATGTTGAGTCCCTTTAGGTGGTGCGTCACGCACCTCAACCGCCGCCAGCTCAGTGTTCCATCCCCGATGCGGGATGCCTGTGACGTACAAGACTGGCCACGTCTCGCAGAGACACTCCCCGGCATACCGCAAAGATTGGTTGTACGCCCTTGGTGGTGATCGGCGCCCTGGTCCATCCGTAGCCCGTGGTGATACCCGGTAGTTGCGATGCCTGTAGCTACACACGGTGAAGAATTCAAAACAGTCCAAAGAAGGCACCACCAAGGAGCTGTCCATCACCACGTGTCGGCCGTGGGCACTACCTAAGTCTGCACGGCGACCCTGGCAGGCGTGCAGATTGAAGCCTCTCGCAGACGCCCCGTCGTGGATAGTGATGACGGTGGCAGATGGAAGGTGCGCAACAGGCCGAGGTGGGCGTGACGGCCAACCTCACGTAGCATTGTCCACGTTCAGCATCATAACTGATATCGGTCAGCTATTGAGTATACTCTATTTGCCCAATGGCAGGTGTTGCAACGTCAAGACGGGTTGAATACTTAGATTCGGACGTCATGCTCCACAGTCCCAGTGTACGTGAGTTGTGATACTGAAGACTATTGTCGTTGATGATGGGTTGAAATCTCGTGTCCTTGGAGTGTACCCACCGTTGCTTCCGTTCAAAACAGTTTTGTTGCGACCCAGGACGTCAGGGCGGGCGCGAGCGAGTCTACTACATTAAGCAATATTGTTTGAAGTGCGAGGAATCTCGGACCCATTAGTTATATGATTGTCTCAAACTCCAGACCAGCGCACCGTGAGCCTGATTCTTTTCGATCGATCCACTCGTTTCTTCTACGATAGCATGTCCTCCGTTCCCACCCTGGCACCATTCAATCGTGGGAGAAGCGATAACTCGGTGACGGACGTTCTTTGCCGACTTGATGTATTGGCGTTGTTTAATAAGAGCGACCTTGTTGTCTCTATAGCAGATCGGGATAAGGACAATGACCACCCGCTTGAGTAGCTTGGGTTGCTGCCCCTTGCTGCTCTTCCTCTGCTTTGCGAGCCTTCTCTTCCCCCTTCTTGCGAGCCTTCCACTCGTTGCGGATCTCTTTGGACTCTGCGAAACACGTCAGAATATCTGTCTGTGGAATGAGGGGGTTCAGTGCGGAACAAGTGACATCCACGACAGACACGACAAGCACGAGATCCGGCCACACAATTCTCGACTCCGCACTATTCTTGCCTGACGGAACGACTGCTGTTCCCAACAGACCAGAGATTACGGACCTTGAGATGTTCTCTTGGTGCCATGAGTTTTCGCGGCAACGTGTGTGTTCAGATGATTCAACGTGCCGTAGGCTTTTGTGCACCCATTCCAACCACATTTGTAAATTCTTTGAATTTCCACCTGTCGTCGGCGCTTGCGCTTGTGCCGTTCAGCATCCGTAGCTAGAACGAAGGAATAAACCTGCAGTTGGTTTGAGGTCAGTATCTCAATCACGCTAAAAATAACAAACGTCGCTGCCATTCTATACCTGTCCAGGTCGAGATGCAGCTGAGGTTTGAGGCGCTGCTTGAACGCCTGGCCCGCCTAGGTGCGGGTTTGGACCAGACATAACATGCTGCGGAGGGTAACCGCCCCATTGCTCGTGGGGGGGACGTTGCTGCATGTAGGGAGGGTGCTGCGCTTGGTAGGTACGCTGCATATCTTGGCCTGGAGGGTATGGCGAGTAGGGAGGGTAGGTCGGGCTCGCTTGCGAGATGGACGGATCTATAGGGACTTCCGAGTTAGACCTCTTACAGTGGGAATCTGCAGTAGGATTTCCATTTGGAGTTCCATCTGGTAGGGACATTGACGGACTTGTTGGTTGTGTCATGGTTGCTCCTGCACCTCACGATGACAGGAGCGAGCGTAACCCGAATATGCCACCACTCAGACGGCGAGGCCGGGAGTCCGACTACAGAGGATCGTGGCTCGAGTATTGGGCCAAGCACGGTTTCAGATTCCAGTAGGTCGCAAGAGGCGGTCGAGCTGGAGATCTGAACTTCCTCCAGGAATGGCTTGTGGAAAGCCTTCGTTTTGTTGTTTGGATTGGATTGAGGCGGTGTCGCTCTCTCTCAACCGATACGGCTGGGTCCGTGACACGAGGACGATGAGAACGTCGAGGGTAGGGGAATTATGGCGTGGCGATGTCAGTGACTTCTCAAGCGAGCACCGACTGAGGAACGAGCAATGTGAGTATGGTACGAGCAAGGACGGAGAGATAGTTCCGTGCGGCTCGGTCGTGTAGAAATGAGGCTTGTCCGAACGCCAAGCTCACCACGACAGTGAAGGGTTAGATTGAGACGGTTATCAGCCACGCCGGAGACAGCCTTACATACGACGAGACTTGATGCCCGTCCGGTTTCGGAAAAGACGAACACAGAGTTAAGTTCCGTGAGCTCGAACGCGATTCAACAGCTACCAGCAGAGCGGGACTATTATCGCGAGCTTGCCATGAGATGTGGTTTGCAAAGCCCCGATGTTCACATAGAACAGAGCAACGACCAACGTCCACGCGACGAGCCTCTGTAGCACCATGGTTTTGGACAGGCACAAGCACGTATAACGGTCGAGATACCATAGCAAAGCCGGCTGGGCCGACCGTGCGCAACTTTCACGTGAGGGGGTGGGCATGGGCAGTGGTGGCTTGCTTCCCGTTCGACGCCCGTTCGACTCCACGGTCATCACCCACTACCTGATCTGTGCTATCCCCTGTTACGCTCCTCCGGGGCCGCGATAGGTCCTTTCCACGACCGGATCGACGGTCACGGTGTGTGTCCCCCGGAAACTCCATCCCTTTGGACCACGGCTCATATGGCAAACCTTTCCACTATGCCATCCGACACTAGTTAGCGATCACTCCGGCCCAGGACCGACACGGGGTGTCAGTGACATGACCCCCTCGATCACCTGCCCCAAGGACCGCTCGCTTCAGGACGAGCGTCCCCGGGCCGCCCGTACACGACGGTGGCGATTTTGGGCAATTGGGGACTGCCATCCTTCGACCTGGGGAAAGGGTCGCGAAGTCGAGGTCGGGCCCGGGCTGAGGCCTGGTCAGCAGACTCACCGTCACGAAAGCCTTGCTCGGAAACATTCGTCCCGCGTTTGGACTATAAACTCGTATGTGCCGGGAGCTCCCCCCTCGGAGTGGGGAGCGATTGGGTGGAATTCACGGGAAGTCTCTAGGGACAGGCGGGAGTAAGAAGTACCTCGAGCAAAGACACTAATTCTGTCATCTTCGACTGCGTTAGCAGCTCACCCCGGTATGAAGTCGTACGTTCGCGGTCTTTGGGATCGGTAGCCGCTGAGAAGGGACATGAACAATTGGCCGGTTGGCACCACCACGGTCCGATGTTTGAACAGGGTCACTGGCGGGGGATGTCGAACTGAATTACGGCCCTAGAGTAACAAAGAAGGAGAATGAGGCGCGGCGAGGCTTTTCAAAACCACAGTCGTACAAGGAGGACGACGAAACCACTTCTCATGGACAGTCGGTGGAACGAAAGCTGCCCTGGCAAGGAGGAGTCTCCAGTTCTGAAGTACCCTGGGAGGCGTGCGTAGGTTCCTAGCCATCGAGAATATGTCCGACACCATAGAGGAAACAGACGTCCATGTCCGCGACCTCCCTGCAGGTCAGCTTGGCCGCGGGCACTACAAGGGGTTCATTTTTTACGTGTGTGGTGCCCGAGTCGGTGCTCTGATGGCATTGTTCCGCCCGGTCGATGCGCTCCCTCCTTGCTACCCAAGCACGAACAACGCATCATATGCCACACCCCCCGACCGTGAGAGTGCGCCCAAAACTCGTAAAATCAGCCAGGCCCGCGAGTCCAGTTCCCCATCTGAAGGACTTTCATTCTTCCTTCACCCGGCACCAGTTCTTCAGCCCAACCACGTCTCGCCCACTCAGCAAGGCCCTCCCACTCCCCGAAACGGAGGTGTTCCTCACCTGAATGTGGTTCATACGAGAGACTGGGAATGTGCTGGGTAAGCAAGGTAGAGCCGAAATTCCTATCTCCAGGGATTGACACCGATCTCGGTCAGTACAAATTTAATCACTCACTCCTCATTAATTACGGTAATCACACAATGATATCGGGTGCTAGTGATGTCGAAGATTCCAAATTCTAACTACTCCTCTTCCCTCTCTTTTCCCTGGATAGACTACAAGGCGAAGAGATAACTTTAAGCCTAGCTTTTTCTCCCATCCCGCGGGTATTGGCGCCAAGATTCAACTAGCGCGCGCTAGGGGTACTAACACGTGAAGCACTAGCAAATATGGATATTAAACTCCATGAGATCAAATGGCTAGGAAATGTCTATATAAACTAGAACAGTCCATAGAGTTGGAGTAAAAGGAGCGATTTCACACCTTGCGGAGCGCGAGTCAAAAAGGCCAAAAGGAGCCTAGTCCATTTTGCCAGGCTGCAGCAACCTATAGTCTCGGCGTGCGCCGAGGGGGTTCAAAAGGCACACGTTTCCCCCCAAATCTGCACCTCTCCGTTGACTCCCTCGACTTCGTCTGGCCCTGAGGAGGTACGCAATGCCTGACAGCCTCGACCCAACGATTTTCGAGCAAATTACCGGTGGTGCTCTTTCTCCTCCGGATCAGCTCTGGAGGAAATTGAAGAAGGCCATTGCCAAGGTCGGACTTGAACCATATCCGTCTATTGCGACGCGGCGGATCCTGATGGTGCTCGAATCTCTCCTCACCAACGCGGAAAACTATTTATTCGAGGTGGACGAAGAGTCCCCGGAAGCAGTCGTCGCCTCAGTGACCGGGAAATCCTGATTCAACGAGCCTAGGTACTACCACAATGCTCTACAGCTTATTGAGATGATTGGTCCCGACAAAGGTGCGCTCGGTCTCGAGTTCGGCTTGCCGCTCCACGGGCTGTTCGTTCAAAAGTTCAGCCAAGGAGACTGTTATGGTGTCGACCACGTCCGCATCCTGGATCGATACTCGACGTTCAGCCTCGCCCAACGACAGCAACTGGTCACGTCATTCCTGACCGGCGCCACATACTGGCTCCATCGACAATACCGGAGGCGTTCGCTGGGGATATTAGATTGCATGCATCAGATCCTGGACACCAACCATCATCCGGAGTCCCTAGAGCTCTTCCGAGAATTCCAATCCCTCGTCGATGGAGATCACGATGGAGATCACGATGTGAAATTACTTTCAGACAAGCTACGCCAATGGGAAAACCTGATCAACGATCAAACTTCATTGCGTTTCCGCCGCGCGAAGATCAACACACGCAGCCCGAGATTCCGAAGACAGAAGAAGAAGATGCGGGCGTATTGGAGAGAGCAAAACCTTCGATGCAAGAATCATCGTGATTGTCGCGATAAGCATCCCATTAACGACTGGGGGCCAATAGATTAGAGGTCGAAGGACATGGTATTTGTTAAACCTGATGAAGGCCCCTCTTATGGGTCCCGCCGCGGGCGATCAATAGCAGAGCCAGAATCCCAGTAATAATATCTCTATAGTATGGCGCCGTTCACGGAACGGGTCGCCAACCCGCGACATGCGGCGGGGCACATTGTCCATCCGATGAAACTAGGATCATTCGCCTGGAAGGGAACGGGTCTCGGCTGGGATGATGCGAATTCCTCTTTTTGTAAATTACGGCCTTGAGGTGAGGGTCTCACTGCTACGCGACGGTTCACGTGACAGGTGTGGAGGCTAGAGCCACGAGCGCCACTTTGGGCTACGCGCCGGACCTGCGGAGGATTCTTGAACATTTCCACGCCAATGGAATGCCGCTCGAGAGGCGTTCAAAGGGAATTAACTTAGAAATGATGAAAACCAAGAAACGGATCGGTGCGTGGCACTTACAGCATTCGCCACCTCACTACTTACACCTTGTTACTCATTGAGAGTGGCCCTTCTCCCATCCTTGCTTCTTGAGCTACTACATCATCCATTGTGACCCCCATTAATGTAGCCCTAACGACCACCGTTCATCCGCCAGGGTTTCTCAATTTACCCATTTCTTCACCATATCCGTCTCGTGGCACCTGGGGGAAATTTGACCCTTTTCCTGTCGCCACTGGTCGGTCGCTGACCGCGTCCACAATTACCATGACAACAAAACACAGGCCCACGATCACGACGATGCCGGCAATGATGGATACACTGATAATGACGACCTCTGCAAAGCGGAAGAACGTGTCGACGCCGTGAGCGGTCTTAGAGGGCTCCCTCATATCCTCGTTGTGCCAATCATCGAGGTGGATAATGTTCACGCCGTCGTTGCCGAAGAGAGGGAGAAAGGCGAGGTCGAGAATGGCCATATTTGCCACGCCCGCAGAGTCGGGCAAAGTCACCACGCTATTTACACGGAGTAGAGCGCTAAAGGGTGAAGTACGTGTAATATAGAATGCGACAGCCTACGTTAAATATTTTCAGGTCAAATTGAATTTCAAACATAGCGAAAAGCCTCTGAGGATATTATAGGATTTACAGTTAAACATATCCCGCGACCCTAACCTTAAAGACATGCCAATGGTCACCGTCAAAGATTTCCTGATACCTTTCGTTGACACTCATCTTAGTGTTCTCGGACCTCGACAGCTGCTTAGACGAGGCCTAACATACAAGACTAAATAGACATTGAATCCGTGTCAGGGGCTGTAAAGTTACTCGCAGGCCAGGATAGAACCGATTGGAGATACATGAACCACATCTGGGTGGGTCTAGGCGCTCAGCCTTGCGCTGTTCCTCCGCCTAATCAAGTAAAAAATGGTGACAGTCCATGGAGCGTTGAGGCCAGTTCGATTCGGCAGGTTGCTGTAGTGCCGCGATCGCTTTCGTACTGGCGTGCGTGTAGGAGTAGACATCACGATTCAACGAACCGTCTACGCCGCCTATGATTGTTCAAAATTGCATCAACCCCTGGCCTCAAATCCGTGCCACGCCGATGGAAAAGGTTGTCACCAGACTAGAGGGCTATGAGTCCAGAGGTAAGCCTTCTCTGATCCGCTCGTATGCATCTAAAATTCGATCAAATGGCTGTGCTCGATGTCGACTAGTTGGTGTTGGACCAGAATCCCGTCAGTGACTGATCCAGGATAACCTCGGCGGGTCTCGAGTGGTGTATACTAGTTGGCGGGTCTCCATCATCCGTCCTCCCAGGGTCCCATTCTGCGAATTGTATCAATCCCGATCTCTCTGGGTGTGATGGAGGCGGACTGCTGAGCTCGTAGTTTCGAAGTCTTCATCAACGGCACCGAGAGAGCGAGGGAAAGGGGCGGAGCCCACAAGGGATACCCTACTCCGTCGGAATAGGCGCGCCTCGGGGAAATCTTACGAATCCCATTGTGCAGCAGGAGAGAAAGGAGTCATGGTAATTGTACGAATTTATCGCTCCAAGTTGCCGTGGGTGGATGATAAAAACACTCTCGAATAAAATGGTGTTACCCTCCTGGTGAGTTCAGGTGCGCAGTGGGCGATGAGACTTGCGGCGACGCTCCGCCACTCTCTCCCTCTTTAGCTCTACGAAGGGTTCAGTCAAAGAACTGTGTGTGTTGCCGGTCTGATTCCATCGGCCTCCTCGACCGTCAGCAGAGCTCGTAGCAGGGGCATCGAGCCCATCACCAATCTCACTCGAGGCCACTCTGGCGATTTCTGATGTCGTCAAAGTAGAAGAGAGAAAGGAGGTTTTTAGCGGTAATGCCTGCACATCTAACCCTCGGGAGGAGATCTAGCGCCCGGCTCTGGTCTTCCGGCGCGCCACGCCATTTCTCGAGTGTCCCTGCTACGGACGATTATGGCGACCAGGGTTTGGAGTGGTGTGGGCCGTGGTGGTCGAGCGGCCCGATGCGGCGACGATCGCGCCTCTCGAGGGCTTGCCTTTAATCTAGTGTATGATTACGCCGTCACAGATGTTGATGGCGTCGGATTACCAGGGGATGCACCCCCGAGAGCAGCCTGCCCTAGGAGACGGTGTAGTGGGGGCTCTCGGCCGCCACTCGACGCATATATATACCCTTCGTCACCCTCCTGATTGCCAGTTGGACCTCACTTGACTTCGGCGTGTCTGTCTATATTTCTCTTGTCTTGATCTCGTGATTCCCCGTCCCTGATCCACCGCATTGCCGACATGAGACCCATTTCCCCAAACCGCCGACTACACCACAGGCGGTCCCAGCCTGGCCACCGTCGTAAAGAGAAAGCCGTGCTCCAGCCCGTTTCTCAACAGGGTCGAAGCACAAGGCGTGGGTAAGTGAGAACAAGAACTCCCCGATGGCGCTCCGGCAATTTGGGGCGTGTCTGTCCGACTGCTGATGTGATAGGTACAGTCGTCCAACCCGCGGGATCGCCGAGGCGGAGAGCCGCGCCTCTCTGCCATGTTCACCGCATTCTGACCGAAGGGACAGATCAGATGGGGACGAGATTCCCGACCCCCCAGTGGCCATCACTCCGGTACAATTTCGACAGTTACTGGCCAGGGCACATGCGATTCAGGTAGATGATCTGGGACCTTCCGAGCCGTGCTCCCTGTGCGCGCCGGTCCGCGAGGACGGAACCAACCCACCGCTCCCGGACCTCTTGCGCGGTCCCTGGGCGACGAACCTGGCTACGGGCGGTCCTCCCAGTACCGTTGGCGGTGGACCCTCGCCGCGTTGGGAGGAGTGGCTCCCGGCTCAACTTTCTCACGACGTCACCACGGTCACCGAACACGCGCAGATCTACCTCGATGAAGTCCATCCCCAACTCCCTCTCTTTCCACCCCAGGCGTTGAGGGAACAAGTCCAGGCGTTCTTGCGGGTGCTGGGCCGAGCCAATCCGGGTCGCCACCACGATCCAGGCTCGATTGCGGAGAGTGAAGAGACCGTCCCAAGTCTAGACCCTGGAGGGCCCCACGACCTCGACGTCACGATCATCCTCTTGATATGCAGCCTTGGGGCCTGGGCGCAGAGAATGCGGCGGCGCGACGCCACCGCGATCCAGACGATCGACCCCACCTGCCTCGAGGACCGGGGGGACAATAGCGATCCTTCCGCCGGGTACGATCGGCCCATCGCAACGCTCCTGCGAACCTATGGGTCACAAGGCGGCACCCACGCGGCGGCTACCCGACTACTGATAGGTCTGAAACTCGCGCAGCAGGGTGCGTACAGCGAAGCCGCTCACCTGTACCAGAATGCCATGGAGTCACTCCCCGGCGACGGCGGGCGTCTCGGACGCCTGGTTCTATCATTGATGTCGCCGCTGGCGGCGGACACCGCAGGGCGGGAACGTCTCGAACCCCATTCCGGCGGCCGTGTTTATTGGTCGCCTGACGATCGAGGTTCGAATGTCCGAGACGACGAAGTCGTCAGCCATATGTCGACCCTGGAGCAGGCGTGGACGTCCACGAGAGATCTCCCAGCCACCGCATTGTTCGAACAGTGCCGGCGGCGCGCCGGGATGGTGGAGCGATGGTGGGCACGCGCCCACTCCCCCGGTCGCTTCGGCGAGGTTTCGCCCGACGGACGTCGCCGCCGTCGGTTGGCGCTCTGGCGCCTGAAATGCGCGGCATACGCCCCGGCACTCCAGATGGTGGCGATGGGTCAGGATGTGGCCGCTCAGTCTGGTGAGCTTCTCCCACAGCCTCTCGACATATTGACAATGCTCTGCCGCTACGTGACAGCGGCCGGGATCTGTGTTCGACTGCTCCGGAAAGAGAAGACGACGTTCAGTGCTCATCCCCTGCGCACGGCTCGCGCGTAAGTTCCCGACCCCCGTCATTTAGGCATTCCCACTGACGGAGCGTCTAGATACGTCGGTATTTTTCGGTCGATGGTGATCGCGTTCTCCTTGAGGGTCATCGGGGCATCGCGGGACGACGTCTGGGATTGGTGGAACATCCTCGAGGAATTCTGGTCTCACTACCCTCACCTCGGCCCAACCCTGGAGGCCCTGTGGCCGCGTGTTCTCCTTTGGCGCGACCTCGATCTCGACGTGGCCGTAAATGATGACCAGGACGAGGTGGGCGTCGATCCCCCCGGCGCGGCGGGTGACTGGCGGGTCAAGCCGTGGGCTCCCTTACGGGGGGAGATGGCTGCCTCTAACCTGACTGACCGTCGCCTGAGAGCCAGCTCGGACGGGCTAGCACTGTTGCCGAGCCACGGTGGTGATCTGTTTCGGCTCTTCACGGCCACTGAAGCATACAAGACACCAGTGTAATGACCGGTGGCCTACCCTGTCGCTGAACACTTCATTTAGGGTAGCCGGCCATGGGCACATCTGTTGTGTATTATAGCAGTGGAAGCATCAATTGTTGTTGTCGTTCTTCTTCTTCTGCCTCCTCGGAATGTAGGAGCACACATACATACACTGAAGTAATATACTAGAAGCTTCCTATCATTTCCAAGCATGCGGAATGATGCCATGAGAGAGAGTTTCCGTCAACCTTATGAAGGTCGGTTGAGCTTCCTATCACAACATCGAATCAGATGAAAAATCTCCTGGTGAATCTGATATGGTACCTTTGGGAAATCCCACCCTGTCAAAACACGAAATGAAAAGGCTGCACGGGCGAGACGCCCACGGGCCTTGGCTGACACTGCGAGAACCTCAAGGCTCCAACATCTCCGTCCGGCAGAACCGGCCATCCTCTTGCGGAGCCGTACCTCGGGCCAACACTTCAAAATAGCTTATACGTGCTTCCTTCCTCGACCCCAAGATAGATCACACGCTCAGCCTCATCGACTAAATACGCTAAATCTGTCCAGACTCGCATATGAATGACCGCAACGTGCGCCAATTCCCGAGCCAAGTCATCCAAACACGGCATCTGTCGCCACTGTCGATCTTCATGCTGGGGTTGACGTCGAGCATAATGATCCCGTTTCTGCGCTTCCGAGATGGCTAGAGTGGTCATACTTTGGAAGGCATGCGCGTAAGCTTGTGCTCCTTGCTCTAGGGTCTGGGCGAGGAGTGTTGCGCGTCCTCCCCGTCGTCTTTCCTCGGCGAATTTGGATGCCAGCTGGTTCCTGGTGGTTTCAATCCCAGACGCGGGAAGAAAACACCCAACGCGTTTGCATACGCCGACGATTGCATTTGTGAGCTCCCATGCGATCTCGCTGACGTGCCGAGACCACACCGCCGCCATGGTCTCGTTCGAGCACACGTGCCCATCGGTCAAGTCCAGTATTCGCGTCTGTAGCTCTCTGATCCGAGCCTCCGGGATCGGGTGTAGACTGGCGGCGTTGAAGTTTGGCCCCACCAGCCGCTCGATCTGGTCGTCGAACACTGAGAGACATAGATCCATGTGGATGATGTCTTGTATCTGATCGCGTTGGTTCTGGAGACGGCCTACGTCGTGCTTGAGAGTATCGGGGAAGTTCGGATCGCTGGACACGCAGATCTGAACGAGGCCGTGAAGCAGCGCAGCCAATGGCGACCTGGATGGAAGTTTCCCACCCCCCCGGCATCCTTCATGCCCTTTGGCATTTTGGAGGAACCATTCTCGTGACGCGTCGACGTTGATCTTGTTGTTTTGAATCCGAACGCGAAAGTGATCCTTCTGAAATAGGACGGTATCTTCAATGAGATGGAAGCGAAAGCTGCGGATTTGATGGTTTGCAACATCCAGCTTCATGGCTTCCAAGATATCGAACAATTCCTTGATGCCATCCACGAGAGCCGTCATGTCTCCTGTCTCCGCACCCTCCTTGACCTTTTCCGCCATATCCTGGGCAGACCTATCACGCATCGGCGCGCAGTGTGTTGTCAGGAGTCCACACAGCCACCGACCCAGGCGAACTACATCCAACATGGAATGAGAGGCCTCTTGCACGAGCAGCGGGATATCCAGGAACTGTGCAATCTGATCTGCATCTCTGTGGGGCACCAAGATGGTCAACAGTTGCTTGAGGCTGAACAACAATCTGGGAAGTCTCGGGGGAAAGCTACGTTGACCCGCGCCTCGAGTACGTTTCTTTTGGCATTCGATACAGCTCGTAGCGAAGTTGTTGTGATACGTTATCCGGAATTCGGCCGCAAGACTTTGCCAATACAAAAGGGCCTCCAACCTTTTCTTCTCGCCTGTCGAACCCGATACGGGGCTGAAGTGTAAATCATGGTCATAGTTGATGTCCACCCGTAGATTGATGTTGGACTGAATCAAGACAAGATCCAACTCGCGCAGCGAGGCTTTGGTGACAGGTGGGTTTTCCGGAGCATTGTGAAGTGCATGCTCATCTTCTTCGCTCGTACAAGGTGGTATGTCGATCGGCTGACAAGGTATTACCCCATCTAAACACGCGTCCTTGTCCAAGACACCGGCGGTTGGTGTCACTGAAGATCGCTCCACGGCCTGCAGAGCCGTCTCCGGAGCTGGGCGACGTTTATACATCCCCCGGTTGCGCCCCGGCGGAATTTTGACTCGTGTTGGGGGTCAGCGTTGGACCGTTGGACGGTGAGGCGCCTGGAAGTAAGATGAAGAGTGGTGTACGTGAGTGTGACAGTGAAGATGAGGCGCTTGGGAATTGGGCGGCTGTCGCCAGGACGGTTCCGGATTCAATGGTCATCATCGGAGGGATCACGGGGAGAAAGGAGGGCCGTGGTCGGTCCATTTTACTTTCACAGCCGCGGAGGAAAGAAGTAAAGGGGTCCTCGCTTAGCTAGAGAAGGGAGATAGGAAATGTTTCCCCGGTTCGCTTAGAATTGCCCTTTTGGGCTGACCAAGGGCTCGGTCCAGGCCGTCGGGTTCGGGTCAAGTCCTAGGGTTATCGAGGATTGTGGATTTGCAACCCCGCTAGATGGACTTGTTCATTCAGGTTATTTGATTGGATAGAAATCCTGGCGAACAGAGCAATTCAAGAACCAAGGTGCTTCGGGAACGTTCGTGACCCGGTCAGACGCAATACATAGTACTCGCTCCGACTGGGCATCGCTTACCTTAATTCGCGACGACAGGTGCTAGATCGGTAAATTAGTTCCTTTCACTCTAGCCGGTGGTGTAGGGCGATTGGGGGCCGCCACACTGACCGCACATGGACAATTTGTAGAGATGGGAGAAGAGGCAAATTGCTCTCTGCGGCGCATCGTAGAGAGGTGATGGCACGATTTGAGATGTGTCTGGGACACAGATACAGTAACTCGCCATTTCAACGGGCGGATCATCACTCGAATTCTATTTCGTCTTCCGTCACCTTTTACCTCACGCTATCAGCCATTTTCCCTTCTTTTTGTATCCTCAACTTTGGGAGGTCGAAGCTCAACGCCGGCGCTCGCTCTAGAAAACGGTCCACTATGAAGGAAGGACGCGGACTAGAAGTCCCTGCTCGCTTCTAGGCTCGCCAATAATTTCACTATCAAGGGTGAACCCCTCGGTTTCCTCACCCATTGAATTGTCTTGAAGGACAAGGCCCGTTCCAGTCATGATCCAGAATTACTCCCACTAGGGGTGGTGAGATACGCGCGGCCTTGTCCATCTCGATCATTGATACTACAGAGGACAATCGAAAAGGACAGTGGGCGGAAAAGAAAACGCGGGATGGCATCGACCAGGGTCAGCCATTAACCAGCCTTTCTGAGAAGGGTTAGCTGTTCGAAGATGTACACCTTTCTCGACATTTTCCGGCCAAAGATCCGAAGCACCTAGCTCTTGAATACGGATGAGGAAAGAAAGAGCTCAATAGCAAATACTGTGTAAGAATATCTAATCCTGAACACCATGGCGTGAAGGCGGATCTTTGAGGATATGTATCACTCGAGACGCGCAGAACGAATAGATGAACAGCGAATTAATCTAGTAGTAAGTCAGGTTTTTGAGTTGTAGATTAGGAGGTCAGCAGATGTATATATATAGTCGCCTAACTTTATAACCCCCTAATAAGCTTGCGATATAACCGATGTAACCGATGCAACACTAAGCCCAAATTCGGCAAAATTTCGTGTTGCGTTTTGATGCATGATATTCCAAGAAATACTTGAATATAGTTACTTCTGGCACTTTTAGCGTGGGCATTCGTTGCTGTGATGAGCTGTGTTCACTAGGCGAAGCATAAAGTCTCAAGTATGTAGCTGTATGTATATGTAATAGTTTTGGAGGTCCTAAATTCGTTACTACAGTAATTGTCATGGCGTCACGATGGCAAAATTCGGTTAATCGATCCTCAAACCGCAAGGTCGACGCCCGTACCGACGTCACGCAGTTTCTATCTCTGTATGTACCATAGGAATGGCAGTGAAGAACCCCGGTCAACCGTCGAAAGATCACTGGCACCCTTTTGTGATTTCCATACATCTCCCGAGTACTGGTACTGGTGATTGACGAATGGGGTCGCGCGACAAGCCAAAAATTGCATTGGATTACGGCACAGCAAGCAAGGTGTTCTACATACACAGTGTCTACAGTACGTACAGTATTCTAACGTCCTCGATCCGATGACATTGTCAACATTCAGAAATCGCCCGGATTTGGAGCTCGAATCAGGTCGTACAAATCGAACTTTTTGGTATCCTAGTTCATTCAAGCCCCCTCACGATGGGAAACGGGGTCGTCGCAACCACACGTTCGAGAGTAATTTAGAGATGATGTAAGATCAAATTGCGACCTCTGACAGATGTGAGCATGTCTCAGAGAATCAAAAAACTCAAATACATGTTCCGCTTTGATACGCGTAGTTGTTTGCAATTGCGCCTTCGGGTTCTGCACACGCACTTTTATTTTGAGACCCATATTTTGATCCACCAAGAGTCCATAATACACTACATTAAGTAAAGCATAAAGTGATGGCTAGACCAATAAATAGAGAAGTTCTCATAAAAATGGGTACTTATCGTATTTACCGATTAGTATCGATAATAATATGAGTAACCTCGTGACTTTGGGGTCTGGCTCATAGCGCCAAGAGATCAGCGTCCTGTTCCGCTAGGCAGCGCCACTTTTCACATCAGCCACTCCTCCTCTGGAAGGTCGATATCTAGCCCTTTGCCAAATTAATTACCCATTCTGCCTGGTGAAACAATCTAAGGTTCTTAAAAACTACGATAGTCTCCTCATATTTGGCTCGTGCGAGATGGTTCGGATCTGAAAACTGTACAAGAAAGCGTCGGGCTGCAGGTGTGGCTCACTCTCCGGGAGTTTTATTGAAGAAAATACATATGGTCAAAAGTCGAAACTGGGAAACTTGTCAGTTATTGTTGTAAGACTGTTGAGAAACTCCTACTCGTTGGACAGCGTACTCCTCTTCTACAAGTCCATACTGTTCTGTCGATACTGGCATCGGTCTCGCCGACGGCGGTTGAATTGGAGCCATCCTAAAGAACACGCGCTTCTGTTGATACTCAGATACTAGCAGAATGATGATTGAACGCCACCAGTCTTTAGCCTCTTCGATTCCTGCCTAAGCTGATGCAAGATGGCTCACGTGTGACATAGTGATTGGCGACTAATGATTGGATCTCACTGGTCGATGCATGAGCTGTGGTCGGAGTGGAGTCATGAAGGCGGTGCCCCCCTCGCAATGACCATTTGGCCTCTGCTAACAGGACGATGCATGTCCTCATGCCTAGGATGAAACAGCAGTAGACGAGACGATTGGTGTCTCGTCTGTAGAAATCTCAATTAAGCGCGCGCAACTGTTTTCTGTGATGCACAGTATAATCCAATCATAAATCTTGCAGCGAAAATGTAGAAGTGCCTTTCCAAGAGGCGGTGCAAAGATTCTGTTTCATGTTAGCGCTAAAAAACTTCTATGGTTGTTCAAAAATGGTGCGAAGGGACAGATATGCCCATAAGGCTTCTGGCAGACTCAAAAAAACACCTCGTAGGACGCCCCGCAAAACGCCTTGCAGAACGCTTGGCGCCGGACACGTGCAATTCCAACCGTTCCAAGAACTCCCACTTTGAGATTTATACATTAGAGTGGTGCGACGTCAAGTGTCCTGTTTCATGGCGTCGAACAAAGCAGCCAAAATGGGCGACAAGAAGCGTAAGTGCCAATATTGTGTGTAGACCACCGTGCCAGCTTACCTAAACCACACTTTAGTGCCCTTGACCGCAGAGGGCTGCCAGCCTTCAAGATCGTCTCCACCATCATATAGCGTGGCTGCGGACGGTATGCCAATTCCAGATGGCAATTGGGACCTTGCATGCACGATTCCTCAAGGCGAGATGCGCCTTTGTTTGGACGAGGAAGGAAGGCCACTATTGGAGAACTGGTCAGATCACACTATAACCGCCAGCAAGAGCTATCGGCGAAACGGATTCGACATTGACCTCTCTCAATCTTCTATTATATTGACGAGGCAGTCAAAATCCTGGTCCTGTAAACGAGATTCTGCAATAGGGGATCTTTTGCTGTCGAAAGTCAGTAATTTATCACTGGAAAACATCGGTGATCAACTAGTCATCTTCGAACGGACGGTTGTGACAGAAGATCGAAGTCGACCACCGCCAACAACACCTCGCGAAGACAAGAAAGGCTGTCTCAAAGTCGAAACCATATCTACAGGAATCTTATTCCTCTCCGGGACAGATATCTACCACGTCAAAGCCGACAAAAATGACATAGCCATAAAAACACAACGTTATCTAAGGCTGTGGGACATAGCCAAGAGAAGACTTCGATGGGAGAGACTCGTGCCTGGCGGACAGCTTCGCGGCTTCAACGAAAAGTATGTTTTAGTTGAGGTGGGTAAGTATCACCTCTACCAACGGCAAAACGGATACGAATATGGTACGTTTAGTCCTCCCATTTACTCCGCCTTCATTAGGTTCAACCAGAGGGATCATTTTGGCCCGTTGATAAGCAGAGGCGGCTTAGTACTGTATAAGCCGTGCAAGAACGCGCTTTTCATATTTCAAATCGGTGATGACAAAGTCGAATATCGCATGTGGGAGTCACAGGAAGAAATACGAGGCTCTCTGGTCATGCGTGGCGATATGAAGAATCTAGAGCTGAATCTGATCGGGCAGAATCCTATCTGGACAAAACATGAGACGAGTGTGCCGATCTACATAAATTGGGATCCAATCCAAAAGTATGTGTTTGCATGGTTGGAATAGCCGGCATTTTCTGGTAGTGCAAGGCGTTGATACATGAAACAATTCAGACATTAGCATAATGACTGGAGGGTAAACTCCTGACTATGAATCAGGGCGGCTCCAAAGCGGGAAGAAAGTCTACCATTTCTAGGTTGAAAATGTTTCGTTGCGTCTTGTCATTGTGCCTTCGCACAGCCTTCTCGCCCTCACTTACCACTTACGGTTTCGTTCACCGCGTTAACCTCGTCGTTGCCCCTTCATTCCTTGCCCCTCAGCATTTGTTGTAGACATCATAAGCACGAGCACAATGATACGGCTATCATTTTAGCGGTAAGGTCAATACCTTCACACGCCCCTAT